TGCCATTCATTCATCACACACACACACACACACACACACACACACACACACACACACACACACACACACACACACACACACACACACACACACACACACACACACACACACACACACACACGAGTAATGAGATAGGTTCAATATGTACTAAGGAGAGGGAACGTAAGGAGAGGAGATGATTTTAGTGCTGCACTGACGTGGTTAGATTATAATGTTGAAGATTTTAGAGATCTGTATCTCATCAGAGATTCTCCACAGGTTTCCCATATTGGTGTCTTTTAAGGTTCTGATATTCCATTGACTAAAGGTTGAACTGAAAAATATTTGAATTGATAGCCTTTACTTTTATTTACAGTGATCTTATAATGATGGCTCCAATGGTTTTAAGGTGAAGGTGTTACAAGATCATAAGGGTAATCAGCAACAGTGTGACTGTCTCATTGTGTGTGTTTTGTTGCTTCTATCGCCTCCTTTGGGGCTTAAACATGAAGAAACCTGACAAGAGAAAACTCCTAATTGCATCTGAACTGCCCACATTGAATGAAGCAAACATATTTAGTATTGGGGGTATACGTTTAAAAATCATGGTAGCCAGCTTATGTTAATAGGGGAAATAAGCCACACTTCAATACAGGAGAAAAGGTAAACTATATACAGAAATCTACCACTGAATTATCATAAAACTTTGCAAAATGTACCATAATTTCTGTGTTTTTGTGTCAGTAGAGTGCTTCCTTTATTGGTAGGCCAACAAGTAACAACAGTTATTAAAATATTCTAGCGCAATCCTCTCATTACCAGTTTTTTTCCCAACTAAACATTTTTTTTTTTTTTTACGTGTAAACATGGAAAAGCTAATAAAATGGAGTAATAAACAACCTGATCTGAGAGAGGCTCAAATCCCTTTATAATCACATTGTACTCACACATGGCATTTTAAATGTAATTTCAACAACTTTCCACACTTTATTATGCATCTGTTTATATTTCTTTAGTGTATTGTAGTTGAATATGTATATGTTTGTATTGTTTACTCTATGCAATGCCTCGTTTTTGTGCTGCTGTACCAAAATGATTTCCCAATTTGTGATGAAGGAAATAATAGTGAAAATGTGGGTAATGTCATTATCGCTTCATATATTTAAATGTTATTTCTTCTCCACTTTACCAACTCTAAATTCAATGCATTTTAAAGTTGCATAGTTTCTTCCCATTGGCCCTACCTGTACTCCTCCACCGTCTCTTCCTCCCCCTCAGAGGCCGGCTGAAGGTGCTTGGTTCCCGGGGGGAGATGAGTGGACAGCAGGTAGAGAAAGAAACTCGCAGCCGCCACAAGGGCACCAAGTCCGGCTAAAGAGCGCATGTTTCCCCCCTATTGAAACTCCTTGGAAACTGTATTTATAACAGGATGGGGGAAAAGAAAGTCGACGTGTTGCGGTTCAGTTGGAAGACACTGAGGAAAGAGGGTGTCGCTTACCGGGGGAAAACGCGCAAATGCCGGCTGAGATCGGCTGGAGGATCACATGGCAACTTTTTAAAAGTCGAGGGGAAAACCAGTGTTGTTTAAAAACACCCACACAGCAGGTGTTTCCCTTCTCGCCCTCTTCGGTTTCCTCCCTTCAGATCTTGTTTAGAAACTTGCTCCAAATGACGGATATTAAAAGTTATTTTACTGAACTTTGTGAGCGCACAGCTGCTGTTTGTTGTGGACACTCTGAACATGTATTTACACGATTGAGCCACTAGAGGGCGACATGGTAAAGGCCATGTGTTAATGTGATTATGCAGGGGTCTTATTTATAGATCAGGATCCTTTTAGGCATCACTGTACTGCATATAAATAGGAAATACATCAAATTGTACTAGAACAAATTTGAAGTGAAATACAAACTTCACTGGTCTTGACAATTTATTTGACATATTTTAAATGGAATAATTAAATTAAACTAATGAATCTCCAAAAACAGTAAGATGACTGGACTGGACAACCAATTTATAGTTCTCATTATTAATAATCATTATATTGAAACATGTCGTTTCCCTTTGTCATGGGATTTATGTAATATTGAAAACATTGAAGAAGACTTTGTGCTCAAGATTAGCAGTAGTAGTGGTAGCCTATAAAGTAAATGTGTATGAAGAAGAAGAAACGGTGGAACTTTTCAAATGTAATGCGACTTTATGGATGGATCTGATTCTGCAGTGAGACACCAACGAAGAAGAAGAAGATTAGCAGCAGAACACGTGCAGGAAGGTGAGTGAATCATGATATAACTCTGTTTATAGGAGCTTGTGTTGCATGACAAGTGTGTGCAAGCTCGTTTTTTTTAGTGTGTCTGCGGCTGCATCCGCTGTGATGTTTTTGGGATCTTTATTTATGTCTCTTAGTCTTAATGTGTTATTCTGTATTCCAAAATGTGGAGACGCCGCGGTATACTGCTGTTATTTACTGTGTATTGTTTTCCGGTTATACACTGAACAAAAATATAAACACAACACTTTTGTTTTTGCTCCCATTTTTCATGAGATGAACTCAAAGATCTAAAACATTTTCTATATACACAAAATATTAACCCTAACCCTAATCCTAACCCTCACACCAGATACTGACTGGTTTTCGGACCCCCTCAGACCCCCCCAATAAAGCAAAAATGCATGTTTCAGAGTGGCCTTTTATTGTGGCCAGCCTAAGGCACACCTGTGCAATAATCATGCTGTCTAATCAGCATCTTGATATGCCACACCTGTGAGGTGGGATGGATTATCTCGGCAAAGGAGAAGCGCTCACTATCACAGATTTGTTCAGATTTGTGAACAATATTTGAGAGAAATGGTTATTTTGTGTATATATACACATGTTTTAGATCTTTGAGTTCATCTCATGAAAAATGGGAGCAAAAACAAAAGTGTTGCGTTTATATTTTTGTTCAGTGTAGTAGGCCTATCCTACTTTTGCAATGAGGAAAGTTGTTCAAGTGATGCTCCGTTATCTGCTCAGGCTACAAAGTGTATTTATTGTAGGAATTGT